GGTGATGGGATGTCAGAATAGAAAAACTCTATATGTTATTTGAAAAACATAACCATATATTTATAGGCAAACCTGCCTGTTAATTTGTTTTATTCTTAATTTAACCCATAACAAAATTAAAAATTACAGATCTAGTCTCTATAGATAAAAAAAGTCGTACTTTAATTTGATACATTAAAACCCAATACAGCCTTAACCGTATCAGATCACTTTTAACCGGAGCTAATTAATTTGATAGTCTTTTATGGTAAATTAAAACCCAACAATCTCTCACTTGGGTTACCTCATAATTGCGCATTAAACAACTTTATTAGTACTCATAATTTTGTTATCATTACCTGAATGCATCTCTAAATAATCTGGTCCATAAATCATATCAACATCAGATCAATTTATTGTAACTAAATCTATCAATGGTCACGTATATCAATATAACTAAATAACATGGATCAAGCATTGATGTATAACATGAAAATTACATGCAATGTGATCTAAACATGTATATTTTCAACTGGTCATACCTTAAACCTTAGTGAGATCAACTTTAAGCAAGTTCAAAGATAAAATAAATCAAATTCATTATAACTTAAAAATAATAACCAAATGTATATAATTCATAACCAAAGTTTATCATAAGACATGTCTAAATTAGAAATGCAACTAAAGTGCAAAACTCCCACTGAACCTATACATCTTCAAGAGATACAACAATCATAAGAGTGATGTGTTCATGAAAGACATTGGATGGTAATCCCTTAGTGAGCTAATATGCAACTATGGAGTTTGTTTCCATGTGTTTTGATACCACTTGTAGGGAATAAAACATATCTAAAATTTAATCTGAATAAAACCAACATATTTATATCAAATCCAAGAGATCTGCAACTATATTGGAAGCATACCTAAATCCAAAGTGGAAGAAAACTGCACGTCATGTGGTAGATATTTCAAATTAGCACGTAGTCCTTTAAAGTTCTCTCACTCTCTCTATTTCTAGTGATGGATGTCAGAATAAAAAAATTCTACGTATAATTTGAGGATCATAACCGCATATTTATAGGTAAATATGTCTGTCAACTTTTTTTATTTCTAATTTGGCTCATCACAAAATTAGAAATTACAGATTTGATTTCTACACATAAAAATGACTCACACTTTAATTTGATGTATTAAAATCTAATATATCCTTAACTGTATCAGATCACTTTTAACTGAGTCTAATTAATTTAATAATCTTTTATGCATAATAATTTACACATATAAGACCACATGGTAAATTAAAACCCAACAATATAAGTTTGAGAGGAGATTCTTTAATTGGGAAATCAATCAGTGGAAAGAGCTCATGTCAACTTTAAAAAATGTTGTCATGCAAAAAGAAAAAGATGAAAAATTAATATGGAATTGGGATGACAAAAGTCTGTTTCTGGTTAAAGTTTTTTAGAAGGCAATTCATGCTAATAAACACTTTGAAGCACCCGCTAAATCTTATGGAAAGGCGATAGTCGCACAAAAAACAAAGGTGTTCGTCTAGCAATTGTTAAAAGGAAGGCTATTAGTTTGTATTACTTACATCAATGCCATTATATGTTATATATTGTGAATGAATGCCCTTTTTATAAATAAGAACCAAAACCAATTGATCACCCTTATTAACAATGCAAAGCATCTTGAATCACTTAGATTGAATCCGTAGGCGAATAGAGGATATCATGGTGTTATCCTAGCAACATTGTTTCATTCATGACAACATTTTTACATTTATTTAAGGGTCCTACTAAAAAATGGGTAATAATTATGTTACTTTATGCTATTTTTTGGTCCATATGGTTAGTTTGGAATGAAGTAATTTTCAAAAGAAGACTAGTATCAGGCAAAGAGATAAATGAACTGGTGAAGATCATAATGGCTTGATGGCTAAAAGCCTTACATGAAGATGGGTAGTTCTACCCGATAAATGTTCTCGCTAGATATATACAAGCTATTAAGGATATCCCTAGAAGGAAAGAAGTCTTTAAACCTACTAATTAGTTGGCCCCGTCTCAAATCATTTGAAATTTAATGTGGATACTTCATATTATTGCAAACCTAAACACACTAGTATTGGCGGGGTTTTAAGAGTCATAATGGAACAATCTTGTAGTTATTTTCAGAAAATATTGACATTAAAGACTCTAACATGGAACTCATGGCAATCTAAGAAGTAATTATCACTGTTGCAAATTTTGAGGAGGTTAGATCAAAAGAGATGATTATCAAAAATGACTCCACTACTACATTGGCATGGGTCGCAAATGGCATGGTCCCATGGAAACTTAGTAGCCTTACAAATCCCATTAACAACACCTAAAAAAAGTTGATCTCTTGGATAATCAAATACACCAATAAATAAAGAAATACATATAGACTTGTTAGGTTATGTAGGGCCAAGGAGAAAAATCTCCTTGCTTTGTTATGATAGCTCGAACACCAGTTGATGCTACTCCACTATATTGTAGATATTGTTCAAATTAATGTTAATTCAGGGGATTATTTTTTAACATATCACTTTCTGGCTAATTAATATATGATTCTCATTGTTGGATGTCTGGCCTTTTTTCCTCTCGTATCGATCTGGAGTGGCAATCTATATATTATAATAGAGGTTCCAATAGCTTTTCTCATATGTCTTGTTTACACTGTTATGTTGTGTTTTTTTTTTGTTAAACACTCTAAAATAGGTGTTTATAATAATGTCTTTATGGTGCTGATTGTGTTTAATCTATGATTGTTAATTTGTTAGAAGTTCTTATCGATAATACTACATCTTTCCTTCCAAAAAATCCTTCAAGTATCACCCACTATCATTGGAAAACCATCCAAGCCCATGAACCTACAAAGTTGCCCATGTAATTCCCCTATAATATATTGAAGCTTGGTGAGCACTTACTTGTTCAGTAAAACTAAGGACCATGGTAATTATATACCTCTATAATGACACACCTCTAACGAGTATTCTCCTCTGACACAAAACTCTAAAACCACTTGGTCAAGAGGGCTTTATCTATAACCTATAAGTACCTATGCCAAGGCCTCCCTATTCTTATGTACCAGTTTACCTTGTGAGTTTTCCTTCCCTCCCTGAACTCCCCCATAAGAATCTCTTAAAGATTTCCTCTAACCTGTTAGAGACAAAAACGAGCATTTTCATTAAGAATATAAAGAAAATTAGCAGTAAGTACACTAATTTTTATCATGGTTATCTTAGCAACACTAAAAAGAAACATGTTCTACCTACCTACTATTAATTTTACCTTCAAGCTTACCTAAAATCAACTTTAAAGTTGAGACTATTGAGCCTTTTGCTCCCTATGAAAACTATAGGAAAATCTTAAAAAAAAAAAGACCCCATAAAACACTTACCATCCTCTGTTCCTTCCAAAATGTTAGCATCCTTAATAGATATACCTATGAAGCTATTTTTTCAAAAATAAATTGTAACTTCATAAAATAACTAAAAGCATTTTAGAATCCTCTTAAGTCTTTAAATCTCCAAATGGGTTGGTTTGTAGAAGATAACTGCATTATACGTAGATTATAAAAGATTTACACTTATCTTTCCTTGCCCTAGGTCAAGTTCCCTCAAGACATCTAAAGAGATTGCACCATTAAGTAAGATTTTAAGCTTCTTGCCAATATGTTGAATTGTGATAAAGTTCCTTTTGTCTCAAGCTTTGTCTCACTAAAAAGTCCCAAAGAGTCTCATTAACCAAAGCAATGATGAAGAAAATAGACACACACTGCTTTATCCATCATCTCTATTTCACCTTAAAGCCATCTTCATAAGTATCAAATTCGAGAAAGTTCCAATATTGAGTCCTAAGCTTTCTCGAAATCTACCTCAAGGATCAGGATGCCCTTGTTCTTTTATGTTGATCACTTCATTTGCTATTAACACGCAGTTAAAAAGTTATATATCTTGGATAAATAAATAAAAAATTGAGTGTTCAAGATAACTGAACTCGTAGCCCATTTATCTTCTAGTAAAAACAATTGTTAAAATTTTCTAGATGCATCATACTAGTCAGATTAACTGAAATCCTTTAGGCTTGAGGGTTTGTCAACCTTAAGGATGAGTTAGATGAATGATGCATTGATATATCTTGCAAACTCTCCATTATCATGAAAGTCTTTTAATCGAGTGTTGACCTTGTTAACATATATTTTTGTGTAAAGAATATCTTAAGTGTATATTTTGTAAGTAATGAATAAATCATTTCATATTCTAGCTAAAATATCTCTTATATAAAAAGAATATATATATATATATAAAATACAAGTCTATTGTCTTGCATTAAATTATAATCGTATAAAAACAAGTTCATAATTTTATTTGATTAGAGTACATGTATCTTTTATTCAACTCATTTTCTTGAGGTAATTATGTTCTCTCTTGAGCGAGAAAAGAGGTTCAAGCAATTAGAAGCCCCATTTGCAAACTATTAAAATAAATAAGTCAATGTACCTTTTACTCTATATTAATTGCCATTTCTCTCAACGAAATACGTGCTGGTTTAAATTTTCAAATATTATAAATATGTTATCTTTATGGACACGACTTTTAAAAGAAAGTCAATAAAGGGTGAAAATTTATGGGTGAAAGAATTAATTTTTTTATTATTCTTAATAAATTCAGTATTATATGATATAATAATAATATATGATATGAAATATGTGGTGTTCAAAATGGGGGGAGGGGCACCATGGAATTGTAGAGAACCGAGAAAAGGCATCAAAACCCATTAACTATGAAAACAACAGGTGAATGAGCCAAAGCTAATCACTCTCATGCACACGTCTCTTTCTCTCTCTGCCTCTCCCCCACCTCTGCCGCCTCTGCTTCTCTCTCTCTCTCTCTCTCTCTCTCTCTCTCTCTCTCTCTCTCTCTCTCTCTCTCTCTCTCCCTCTCTCTCTATACAAACCCATTGGGAATACCAACCATTCATTTTTTTTTTTTGCTCTTTAACTTCAACCCTTTAAAACATCTCTCTCCTTTACTCACCCTCTGTTAATTTTATGATCCATCAACAGCTTCTGCACAAAAACATGTACATCTCCAATTATAATAAATATTATTACATATACACCCAAATCTAGAGAGGGAGAGAGAAGACACTTTCTGGGTCTCTTATATCTTCTACTATAATGCTGCTTTCTGTATTTCTTTCCTTTCTCTCTAACCCTATGCTCTTTTATATATCTATATCTATATAGTAAGTGAACTCAGGAATCAACAGATCAAGGTGGGGATTACATATAGATATATATATCTGTCTATCAAATATACTGATCCGTCAATCCATCAATCAATCAAATCACAACTCAAAAAAGATTTCAAAGGAATCAAGAGGATCATGTCGTCCTCAACAGCTGCTTTTTCACCGGACCACCTCTCTCCCTCCGACCAGCTCTGTTATGTCCATTGCAACTTCTGCGACACTGTCCTCGCCGTATTCTTCCTCGTTACTTATACTGTCCCCATCATTTCCTTATCTTCTGTCTCCCCCCATCTTCTTCCTCTTCATTGGCCTTGTTAATTTTTTCTGGATTTTCCCTAAGTTTTTTTTTGCGGTTGTGATATTTTAGGTCAGTGTTCCTTGCACAAGCTTGTTCAAGACCGTGACGGTTCGATGTGGTCACTGCACCAATCTTCTGTCTGTCAACATGCGTGCTCTCCTCCTTCCTGCGGCTAATCAGCTTCACTTGGGCCACCCTTTCTTTACTCCTCAAACTCTTCTGGTACACCAACTAATTAGGGTTGCAACAAAATCCCATCTTTGATCTCTCTTTCTTCTAAGTACATGAATGTTCTTTTTTCCCCTTTTTTTATTTTCATTTAGCTTTATTTCTTTACATGAAACTTGCTGTTGCCCTAACATAATTACAATCTGGAAACATCAGGAAGAGATCCGTAATGCGCCATCCAATATGCTGATCAGTCAGCCTTGCCCAAATGAGTCTGTTCTGCCAATTCGAGGAGGAGCTGAGGAGATCCCTAAACCCCCACCCGTTAATAGACGTGAGATTCTTGATATTTCTCTCTCTCTCTCTCTCTCTTCTTTTTTTTTTTTTTTGAAAGGTCACTTTTTTCTCTAATTACTTTACGTGGTGTTTTTCTACTATGTATGATCAGACCTACAAATGAGAATTAGGTCAATGTCTTTTTTTTTGGAGGTCCACATTAATTTTTTTTCTCAAACAAGTCAATAGATCTTTCTCAAATTCTGATAGCACATAAGTCTTTTCCACTCACCGTAACTTTTATTCCACAAAGACATGTAGTTGGAGAAAATTCAAGTGAAAAGAGCTATGCCTTTGCGATCTGTGCTTACCTGTCAACCGTGCGTAGGCTAATGTTTCTTGGTTTGTTCCAAGTGACAGGAATCTTTACCACATTTATTTCAATTCTTAGCCTTCTTCCTCCTCATGTCATTTATATTCACATAATAGATCATCTCACACCCACAGACATGGCTAACTTGCTTTTAATTTTTCAGAAATGAGCTTTCCATGTCTAGACTCTAAAGGAAGTTAGTAAGCCAAAACCCACCACCATTTCTTAGTAGTTGAACTCTTCACGTTGTTATTATTAACCCTAACATAAAAAAAAAATAAAAAAAAAAAACTGGAGTTTGTTTAATTATGAGTGTGCATGGGTTGTTTGCTTGCCCAAATGTGAATGAGACAGAGAAGGAGATAAGTAGTTTATCCCCCGGAAATATAGATATATAGAATCCACGGATTAGATGGTTAAAGATAATGATGAAGTGATGATGGAGAGAGAAAAGATAATAAGTAAGTTGATGCAGATACAGAAAGTCAGCGAATTGATTTTAATGTGTCTGTTGTTTTTGTCCGCGTTTGATTTGTCTTTCTTCTCCATGTCCAGCTCCAGAGAAGAGACAGAGAGTCCCATCTGCCTATAACCGCTTTATCAAGTGAGTCCTGATTGTATATATATTCAATATTAATACAGTAAATTTATTATGCTTTTTTCATCTATAGTATTACTCTATACGAATTTTGCAGAGACGAGATCCAACGCATCAAAGCTGGGAATCCTGATATAAGCCACAGAGAGGCATTTAGTGCTGCAGCAAAGAATGTAAGATCCTGAACAAATGAATATATGGAAATTAAGGGCTTTATTATGATGCTAGCTTGCTAGGGTTTCATTTCTCTTAACAGAGTGATTAGGGTTATAGTGTATATATATATTGAAGCAGAAGAAGGCATGACTTTTACTAATCAAATACTTTGTTTGAATAATGAATGATATATTAAAGTTCCCAATTGGTACTATGGCTGCAGTGGGCCCACTTCCCGCACATACATTTCGGACTTATGCCTGACCACCAGCCCGTGAAAAAGGCTAACGTGCGCCAACAGGTACTTTACATTAAAACCCTAAAATCTTTAATCAATTCACATGGCTCTTTTATTTTCATATATATATATATATTATTTAATATTAACTTAGAGTATTTATTTAGGAAGGAGAGGACGTGCTCATTAAAGAAGGGTTCTATTCTCCTGCAAATGTGGGCACTGTGACCCCCTACTAAGACTGAAGCAGGGTCGAGAATTAGGGTTTCTGTGTTCTTCTTCTTCTAGTCTATTTTCTTCTTTAACTGTACGCCTTTATCATCACCAGGTGATCTTTGGTATTAAGCTTTTTATAAATTAGAGAACTGTTTAAACTTGCTTGGCTTAGTAACGATGTGGGAGAGGATTTTGGAGGGTTTAAGTTTGTATCATTTGAAAGCTAACAAGTGATGATCTCCCTAGAAAAACCACATGGAATGTCTCAGCATCTTCAAGACTTTTCTCCATGTCCATATTCTTCTCCATCTAAATTAATTATATATCTTCCTGTTATGTCACATTAACGTTTCCACATATATATATATATACATGCTAATCATTGTTAGCTTCGCTAACTAATTTCCATCACTCAATTTCCAGAATTCTGTATACCTTTCTTGGATTTCTTATTGATGGTTTTCTCACTTTATGACTACTACTTCCAAATTAAACATGCAGTTGCCAAATTCGGACACGGACTTGCATAAGTAGAATATTGCTTGTCTATGAAAGTGTACCATGAAAATGGTGCATTAATCTGTTTGTAGCAGACAGTAATTATACAAGATCGTGTATATTCTATTAGTATTTAATGGTTATAATGTTGATATGCTCAATGTTTGTCTTTCCTAATATTGTATCTTTGATATGAAGATGGAATTTTCTGCATATTATAAGTAGCTTTAGAATTAACCAGTTTGATTGCAAGTGTTCCTTAATGCTCTTCCTAAATAGTCTTACACAGGATTTGTAAGTTTTGTTTGGTTAAATCTATTCTATTCTATTTGATTTATATATTAATTGTTTGATTTATAGAATTTAGTTATAATTTACATACTTCATATATAATTATACTAATATCCTTCATATTCTTTATTCTTTCACGATATATTATATATCCCACTTGACAAGTAAAGAATCATAAAAACACCAAATTTAGAATCGAACATAAACTTGATTTGGAATTAAAATATTATTTTTGTTCAAATTTTTATTTTATTTTTTAGTTATATTTTAAGTCTTAGTATATAAAATTCAAATTTGAACTAAATTTAACTAGAAACAAATTAGATAAGTTAACTGCTTCCTCTTTTACATTTTTTTCGTAGCTTTCACTAAGACTTGCGGATATGCAGTATATTTTTTGATTTTTTATGGGAGAATATCTTAGGGGTCATCATTACGAGTTGTATTTGGGGTGTGGGAGACACTCTTCTCTTGTATGTTAGATTGAATGCTTTTTTGGTTATTGAGGTGGCATGATGTCTTAACTTTCTATATGAATATGTATGTCATGATTGAATCTTCATTATTTTAGGCGAATTTTGTTATGTTTTATGCTCTTGTGCTTTATGGCATTCAATAGCTATAGAATATAGTACATCATGTCATACATGTGGAGAATTTATCTTATACTATTTTGTGGTAATATCTTGCTACTTTTATCAATAAGTTTACTCTTTCTTTCAAAACTAATTCCTGACAAGATATCATCTTTTAATGACATTTGGTATAAGCTTTTCAATTTTTTTTTTAAATTTAGTAGTAAACGATAAAAGTGATAAAAGTGATATTTAATCAATGAGTAAACCTCTTTTTATATCACCATTTTGGTACTAGAGTTAAATTTATTTTCTTCCTACCTTCTAATCCTTACTACAAGCATAATTGTTGCACTTTAAACGATAATTTATATTCTCATTATCAATTCTTTCACCTAACTACAATTAAAGTTATCACCCTCTAATTACTCAATATTATGTATGTAATTCAATGCAATACTTATGTATGGGTGTTGTGATTGCTAGAAATAGTAAGCAAGAAGCAAGAGAGCAAGGGAACAAAGAAGGTTCGAGAGATACAGAGAAAAACATTGAGTGTGTATTATATGAATTAAACAAAAAATTCCCTTTTACAAAACGTATACACTGGTATCTAACTCATCTTAATTGCAAATTTTAGTTAGATAAATTGGGTAGCAGTAACAAACTCAACTAATTTAATTTAATGATAATTGTGTACAATTGTTAAATACTTAACTTGAAACTCACCCTCAAGATGGACTATGTATATTAATCATAAACATTTTAAAAAGTAAATAAAAAATCAAATAAGGTTATAATGGCTTAATAAAGAGATCAACTAATTGATGTTCATACTCAACAAAAAGTTTACTACTCCAGAATTTAGATGATCCCTCATAAAATAATAATTAATTTTGATATATTTAGTCCACTCATAAAAAAGAAAAGGTTGTTAGTAATATAGATAATAGCCTGATTATCATAGAATAATAAAATAGAAGAGGAAAAATGCATACCAAAATCATGCAACAATTATTTGAGCAAATAAACCCATTTATTGCAATTGTCCTATATTCTACTTCTATAATGGAATGAGAAATAATTGATTACTATTCACCCTCCATGAAATTAATGAATCACTAAAAAAATAAAATAATATATAGGAAATTTGGGAGAATCAACATAATTAACCTAATTTGCGTTATAAAAAGCTTGCAACTTAAGAGAAGAATGAGAAAAAAAAAATCCCTAGCCAAGCTTAGATTTCAAACATCAAAGTAAATGATATGTTGCTTGAAGATGAATGTCTTTCGATTGGGACACATGTTAGCTCAATTTGTTTGCAGCAAAAACTTATCGCTAGACTAGTGACAACTAGATATAACAATCAACTAATTAGTCTATGGTACATAGCAAGATTAAACAAAAGATTTCCACTTTCAATTGAAAGAGATAACTTTGGAACCATAAGATCAATGATAATAACAATACTTAGGAGTGCCCAAGTCCTTTAATTTGAAATGATAAGAGAGGAAGACTTGACTGAGTTGATAAAATCTGTAGAGGGACAAGTAATAACAATGCCATCAATATACATTAAAACAATCATAAATGAGCTTTCAAATCCTTCAGTAAAGAGGGAATAATTAGCTTTTGATTGAATAGAACAACAACTTAAAAGAGCTTGAGGAAACCTAGAATTCCACTATCTAGATACTTAGTTTAGCTCATATATCGATTATGAATATTACAAAATAGCTTAATACCATAAATAACCTCCACTTATCCTTAATACCCAAGTAGTAAATCCATGCATACTTCCTCAAAAAGGTCACTATTGAGTAGGGCATTGTTAACATCTAGCTAGATGAAGTGAGAGTCTGGCAGATATGGTAACACCTTTAGTGTCACCATCTTTGTAACTAGAGAAAAAGTTTCTATGAAGTCTATCCCTCTGGTTATATATATATATTTTTGCAAATAGATGGGTCTTGTAATACCGAATTGACCCGTCAAAATTGTATTTGATCTTATAGATCTACCTACAACCAATAGAATCTTTGTTAAAAGATAAAGGTATATCAGTTCAAGTATTATTTGATTATATGGCCTAAAGTTCTTTCTCCATAGAATCAAGTCATTGATCATGAGGCACAACTTGATGATAGAATTGGGGTTCTTTATTAGACAAAACAAGTACAACATTTTTATAAGACTTAAAATAAGTAATAATAAGAAATGTGAGATAAATGATACAAAGAAGATGAAGATTTATTTTGAAAAAGTAAATTATAATGAAAATATTTTAAGTATGAAGGAGGTTTTACTAATTCTTGAAGAACTATGAAATGCTTGAATATTAAAATACTCAAAAGATTTATTGATTCTTGTTGATTGTGAAAAGTTAAAGGTTGATTGTCAACATTCGACACTTAGTTCGGAAGAGAATCTTTTAGTATAGTAAAACATGAAACTGGAAGAACTAAATTAGGGAAATCAACACCTACTTACTAGTAAGACCAAAAGTTTATAACACTTCACACATATGGGATAACCAATAAAAATAAAAGCATAAGCTTAGGGTTCAAAGTTAGTACAACTATTGTAATATCCAAGCGGTGGTAAATATATATATATATGTAATATCCAAGCGGTAAATATATATGTATATATATGTAATTAAATAACAAAAAAAGAAAGAAAGAGATGAGAAATCGAAAAGGGAAAGATGCAACTGTGAGAGGAGAGAGGGCCTCGTCGCGTTGCGCGACGCAACAGCTGAAAGAGAAAGGAAATGAGGCGTGACGGCCATGGCGCATGCGGTGGTGGAAAGAGGAAGCAGGTACGGGGAAGAAAAGGAAAGAAAAGAAAAAAAAGGCAAAAAAAGGAGAAGAAGAGAGAGAAAAATCATGTCAGGTAGAGAGAGATAGAGAAGAAGAAGAAAAGAAAAGAAAAGAAAAGAAAGAAGAAGAAGAAATGAAAAAAAGGGAGATAAGAAGAAGAAGAGGATAAGGAAAGGCCACGAGGAAGAGGAAGGAAGAAGAAAAAAAAAAGACAAAAAAAAGAAGAAGAGAAAAAAAAGTGAAAGAAAAAAAAATAAAAAAAAAGGAAAGAAAAAAGAAGAGAAAAAAATAAAAGAAAAAAATGATGAAAGAAAAGAAAAAAAAAGCAAAAAAAATTAATTAAGGAAGAAAAATTAGAGGAGTGGCAACCAAATATGATGTTGATGCGTCGCATATGGCAACACGCGCTGATTCGATCATTAACGTCTGACATTTTTGGTGACACGCGTGTGATGATGTGTGGTGGCGCTAGTGACTGAGACCGTGTGTCCGAAGGTAAATTCTATTCTTAATTTCACGTAATATAGTTTCCAAAATTATTCATAATTTAATATATATGTTTTCTATTATAAATGAGAAAAATTATTCAAACGGTATTCAAATTTCTGAAAGAACCGTAGATTGAGATAGAAAGGATTCCCAAAGCTTTTCTGATCACATAATAGGTAAGAATTATGTGTATTTTGTACAAAGACATAATATTGTGCTTATAAATTATATATAATGTGTGTAACTATAAATCTGTATAAATTGTGTATGTGTATGTTTTGTATAGATATTAATTGATGAGAACAGAACTGATAAAAACAAATACGTGAATAGTTACGTATAATATGTTGTGATTGTATATACATATTTAAGTATGAATGTGTATATGTATTGATAAAGATTGTGTGTGTGAACATAACTATATATTCTGTTTGAGACATGTAGTGACGATACATGTCTGTATAATAATATGTGTG